CCAACTTTAAAAAAAATTTTGGCCCGGCCCTGCAAAAAAGGGAACCAAATTTTTCAAAGGTAAGCTTTTTAATTTGTGTTTTAACAGGCTGTTTTTTTTTAATCTACAGAAAAAAATTTTAAGTTACTTTAAGTGGGAAATGATAATATGTAGAAAAAATTACTTTTAAAATTCCCCGACGCGCATTGGGCCAGCGGGTGGACTAGGCCCTTGATCACCCTAAAATTTGGGTGTTGATGTGATACGTTAAATATTTAAAAAAAATTATTCTGTATCCTATGTCAACAAAGGGGTACCCAAATTTCCTTTTTTCAAGAACTTTTTAAAAAAACCCTATTTATGAGGCTTATATATCAAAATAATAAAGGGACAATGAGTAATATAAAAAAAAACCGAACTTTATTTTATGTTTTCCAGGGGAATAACCACATTCGGCGATATTATAAAACCCAATTTTGGGGTTAAAAATTTTTAAAAAATGAAAAAAAATATGAGACAGGTTTTAATGCAAAAAAACCTGCCCATGGGTTTGGAGGGCTCCCCTCCCTCCCGAAAAAAAAAAGGAACAAAAACCTGGGAAAAGTGAAAAAAAAAACCGGGACAACTTGATAAAAACATGGTTTCATTTCGCATTATCCCGGGGGCCCAAAAGTTGGAAAAACAGTAGCGACGCAAGTATTAAAAAAAATGACAATCCCGGAAAAACGATGGATTCTAGCCCAAAGCGGGGGGGTGAAAAAGGGTTTTCTTTCCGGGGACCCACCTTTTATACAAATGAAAGGGACAATACGGGAGATCCCCTCGAAAGGACACAAAAATTTTCACGAAAGGGAAAAGGAAAAATTTTTTACCAAACTCCCGCCAAGGGCATTGTTGTCTTTGTTTAACGCCCCAATCTTTCGACGAAAATCTAAAAAAGCTCCGTAAGCTGGGTAAATCAAAACGAATGAAAAACTGGCTGCGAACCCAAACAACAAATTTTGATGAAAAAGCCCAAAAAGCAAATTTGTTCATTTGTTTAAAATTTAAATTTAAGCCTCCAAAAAAATACATTGTGGACGAAATTTAAAGAAAAGGGACGGGCCCATGAAGTTTTGCGTCTGCCACCCCCACCCTTGCGATTTAAAAACCAATAGAAATATATGGAATTTAGTTAAAACAAAGGGTGGCAGACCCAAAAAAGTTACTCAATCCCGAGAGAAAATGAAAAAAATGACGGGGGGAGGCTATAAAGCCCCTTTCAGTTGCTGACTGGGAAAAAAGAAACGAACCAATTGAAAGGTTTTTTTTTAAAAAAGATTGGTACAAAGATCACTCCAAAAATAGCAGGAAAAAAGGAATTAAATTTTCCCTTGGAGGCCCAAGAAACCAGCCCTGAAAGCGAAATTGTGATGAAGAATCTGATACCATGTCGGGAGTTTAAAAAAATTAATTATTGTACGAAAAAAAATGATTTAAAAAAAATGTCTTTATACCTTTTTTTTGGTTTTTTTTTTTAAAATTTTGGGCTAAATTTAAGCCCATTGTTCACGTAAAAACCGCATGTCTGCGTTACGCTATTCATTTGAGATTCAAAGCATTTTGAAATAAAATTTTGTCGGAGGAGAAGCAGCGCCGCATTTTCCCTTTTTTTACTATAAAAATGATTTAGACTATTCCCCAAAAAAGTCCCCGCAATGAAAAAACTAGCGCCCTTCATTTTTGTCGTTCTTTTTTGGGCAAGCTTTTTAATATCATATCGGTCCATAGTTCAATTTAAGTGCAAAAATCATGATTTTAAAAGACCCCTTTATCACAAAACAAAAACCCTTTTTTCAACATAAAAAAAAATGGTAATTTATTTTTTTTTTAAAACATGATTTTAAATTTTTTATTGCAAACGGCCCCGCCGAAAAAGTCACAGAGCGGGGTTTGCACATTTAATTGAGGGTTTAACATAGGGAATCCCCGTTATATTCCCAAAGGGGAAGGCCCGCCTTTTTGTGGCCCAAAATATTCGTTATTGACCCAAAATTTTCATGAAAAACTACGCATCGTAAACCCTCCGTTGCTCAAAAACGCCCCCCCATCAAAAATGTTGTAGCCCCGGGAAATTCATTATCATAAAATAACATCACCCCAAAAAAACCCACGAAAACATTGCAATATTTTATTTTTTTTAACAGGTCTAACAATTGGAACAATAGCCGTGGTGGAAAATGGCCCGGTTCCAAAAAATTTTGGGGGGAGGAAACAAAATTTGGCAAAAAGGGAATGGTTTCGTCGAGATTCAGTAAGGGGGGTCAAAATTCCCGGGGGCGGCGGAGGGGGCAGGGGTGGAGATTTGGCGGATCAGGGGGGTTTTGGGAGTAAAAAAAGGGAAATTTTTGGCGGCCCCAAAAAAAAGCGTTTTGCCCCAAACTGGGATCCATGTCATTGGGAACCCTTTTAACAAAAACTTTTACAATCCACATTTGCGTATGAACAGATCACCTTATAAGTAGAAGAGTTAGGGGCACCATGAAATACGATAGGGGTAGAGTTTCCAAACCCCCCCATTAAAATTTTTGGTGAAGGTCTTTTCCCCTGTTTATGTTAACGAAAGTAAAAGAACATGGGATACAAAGAGCGCGCCCATTAAACCCCAGGGTGGCCCGTTTGAATCCCCCCCCGGAAAGAATTGGTTTGGGTAGCAAGAACAGGTTCTGGAAAAAATTTGGGCCTAATTTTACCTGCTTTTGTTCACAAAACAACCAGCCTCCAATCAGACTGGAGTGGACCCTTTTGGTTAGTATGGCAACCAACAGAGAATTAGCACAAAAAGTTCAACAAGTTGTACTGTTTTTGGAATGGGCTTATGTTCGCATACTTGTGTTTTTGGGGTGCCCCAAAGAGAGAACAAGTCGTGATTGGGGAGAGGGGGGAAATTTGTTATCGCAACCGGAAGTTTAAATTTGATTTCTTAGAAAAGGCACCCTAATTTGCAAAGAGCAATATTTAGTTTTGGATAAAGCAAACGAATGGGAAGGGGTTTTTGAACCCAAATTAGAAAAACATTGAACAGATTCGACCAGACGACAAAACTTTAATGTGGTCGTACATGGCCGAAAAAGTCAGAAAATTGGGAAAGATTATTTGGGTATGTTCAGTTTAACATGGATTCTGCAGTTTCGGCGAATATAATACCCTTAAAATCTTGATTTTTCCAAGAAAATGAGAAGAAAATAAGTGAGTATATAGAAATTTTTTTAAGCTGCAAATTTTTTTTTAAAATGATGATTTTTATTTAGAATGAAATAAATTGATAAAATTAAAATTTTCCCTAAGAAGATTGAACCTAAGAAAAAAAATTTTTCCTTTTATTTTAGTATGTAAAAATTTTGAATTTTCAATCTTTTGCGGGTTTAAATGTTTATTAAAAAGAGATAGGACAGAGTCAAGAGCCTGGCCCCAAAAACGATAATTTTTGAAAAACAAGGGAAAGTAGAAAAATCACTGGGAAATATAAGACGTAGGTTTGGGCCCAGCAGGTGCATGCAGGGTGCAAAACACAAAAAGAAAAGATGAAGATTATATCAATTCAAAACGGGGCCCGGCCCAGTTACTTTTTTGAAACAGAGTTGCAGCCCGTAAATTGGTAGTTCATAGTTATATACCTGAAGCTTATGATTTTTTATTTAATAAATATTTAAAGTAATGAATTAAAGTTTGTAATTTTTCTTATAAAACCCTGCTTTTGTTTATACTTTCAGGGGCAGGGGCGGAAAGTTTTTGTGTTCTGTTCGAATACTGCCTAAAATTTAAGGGGCAAGTCCCCTGCTCTGGATTTGTACATGACTAAAATGTCTGATGCAGTCATTATTTAGAGAATGCAATAACTCGTCAATATTAAGGTGCCTCATTAGTGCCTTTCACGATTGGACCCAAGGCCGGAATACTTGATGGTATGTCCGTGTATACGGATGCACTTGAGAGTGTGGAAAACCTGGTGAGGGCACTGGTGCACATAAATAACATTAAATTATTGAGTCATAAGATGCTGCGACGGTGCATTGTTGAAAAACTTGACCACATTTGAGATTTATTGGCAATAAGGTCAAGGGTTTTCTGTTTCGGCCAAAAGGAGTTTTGAAGAGGGCAATAAAAATAATATTGAAAATGAAATATGCTTAAAACATCAATCCCCTTTCGTAATACTCCAGGGTTCGCCAGGTGAGAGGCAAATGTTGAATAATTTGGTACATATCTCTGTGTAACTCTTCATGTAAGTAACACAGTTATGAGTTAACATTACGCAGAAAAAAAAGGTTTACTGTTTTTGTTTTTAAATTTTATTTGGTTTTGTTCTAACATGAAATATTTTACAGATGTGGATGGAATTAAATATGTCATAAATTTTGACTATCCTAACTCTTCTGAAGACTACATTCACCGTATTGGTAGGACAGGGCGTTCAAAATCAAAAGGCACATCATATGCCTTTTTCACACCTTCAAATTCTCGGCAAGCTAAGGACTTAGTCTCTGTTCTACAAGAAGCCAATCAGGTAAGGGAAAGTCTAAGAAAACATATTCTATTCCTCATACCTTGGCATGGGTACGTTTTTACATAGCGTAACATGGGAAAGCAAGTATGAGGTACATAAAGACAGCTATATGCCTTCGGTGTCCACACTCTTTGTCTGGATCCCATCCTCAGATGTTGTAACAATATTTTTACTAAGCAAACGATATGTAGTTTAAATTCCATTTTTGATCAATATCCTGTTGTTTACAGACTGTGAACCCTCAAATACAGAACATGGCTGATCGCTGTGGTGGTGGTGGTGGTGGCTGGGAAAAGAAATCGTATGGAGGTGGACGCGGAGGTGGCGGCTCATTAAAAGCGGAAGCAATTTTGGCAGGGTAACGGTGCTGGAACTGGCCACAAGAGATTTAATGATTATTTAATTTTAAAGTACAAAATAACTTTTTGCAAATCTTTGTCTGAGTGTGAAATTAATGTTAAGGAATGTAGAAATGCTTAATTGATAATATTGCAGTTTGTGGTTTTCATGACAGGTTAGATTAAATGTGTAGAAGCATATCTTAACCATCCTTGAATGTATTTTGTTACACTGTGATATTTTTTTAAACTGTGATTCAGAGGATTAGATATTGATAGTGCTACCGTATCTATCAGTAATTGTCTAAGGAAGACCTCTACTATTTATTTAATTTTATTATCATTGTAAGTTTCACATCTTGTGTGTGTCATTCCAATCCCTGTCTGAATAACTATTAAATATAATAATCAATTAAGTTTTGTTTTACTGTTAAGCTAAGTACCTTAGAATGTAACGCATAGGATGTCATGTGCGTTACCACGCAAAAAAGTCGAAATGGTTAAAAAGTAATTACCCCCTTTTTATTAAAAAAAAAGGAAAAAATTAAATTTTTGGGCCCCAAAAATTACAAGAAGTTCGTGGGTTTTTGGGGGGGGGGAAAATTTTATGCTGGGGCCCAATAAAAAAAAGGGTTTCCGTTTCTTTTTTAAAAAAAATTTTTTTTTTTCTTTTTTCCAAAAAATTAAAAAAAAATTTTTTTCCCCTTTTTTTTTTTTCCCCCTTTTTAAAATTTTTTTCCCCAACATTAACCCTATTACAACGCATATGACCTTTAAAATTACATTAAAAAACCCCCATTATTAAAAAATATTTTTAAAACCTTTTACCTCCAAAAAAATTAATTTTCAATTAAAATTTTTCAAATTTACCAACCTCCCAAAATTAAACTTCAATTTTTTTAAAACCTTTCAAAAAAACTTACAATTCACCTAAACATTACGAGAAAACAAAAGCATTCAAAACAATACCTAATCTCCCGGCTGATTATAATCAGTATTATTAGTAATTACTAATTATGCAATAAACAATCCTAAATAAAAAATATTTAAAAAACATGTAGTTTTTTGTAACACTTATGTACATATCCGTAGTAAACTTGCAAATAATATCCTACATATTTTAAAAGCCAGCACAATGTACTGGGTGATCGCTTTTTTGTAACCACCTAAACATGGTCGGGTTACCACAGTCTTGCACCTTCTAATGACTTTTATTTAATTTTCTCGTAAATTATTATATGTACTACGCTGAAATTTTACAGGTAGACAACTGAACTAAACAACTAATTATTGGCATAACATTCAGTTTATATATCCACACACAGGTTTATCGGTGGCCAAAAAAGGCCCGCACACATTGTGATCGTGAACGTTGAGAGCTACATTTCATCATAACTTTTTAGTCACTTACAGTATTATTACGAAAATTCGTATACATTTGAAGGTAGTTACAAGCAATAGAATAACGTTTTAAGTAAGTCTTTAGAGGGCTTATTTAAAGTGTTAGGACGTATTGAAGTGTTTTCATACTTACCTAAATAATTTTTAAACGGTCCATTAATTTTGTTATTTTATTGTCGAACAAATTAAAACTAATCCTTAAGAAGTTATGTACAAAAGATGGTTACAATCCGCTTACCCGTTTCAGAGATCCAGCAAACCCACAAACGTTACTCCAGCAGGATTTCGAATAACTTCGCACCCGAAGAAAATATAAATACCAAATAAGTTGTAACATTTACCTAGTCCAGATAACTAATTATTTAGCTAAAATTTATTTCAATATTACAATTAAAAAAGAAAATGTCTGGCTGCGGTAACGTTTCAAACGTTACCCCAGCAGGAAATGTTTTTTTGAAATAACTAAAAAAGTTTAAGTGAAACAAATTTAAAAATGTGCTTAACAATTACAGAAGGGGAGCAACTAATTATCTATAAAGTTTAAATGACCATTTTCGACATTATTTTGCTGGGGTAACGCACACATGTTACAACTTATTTGTATTTTCTTCGGGTGCGAAGTTATTCGAAATCCTGCTGGAGTAACGTTTGTGGGTTTGCTGGATCTCTGAAACGGGTAAGCGGATTGTAACCATCTTTTGTACATAACTTCTTAAGGATTAGTTTTAATTTGTTCGACAATAAAATAACAAAAATAATGGACCGTTTAAAAATTATTTAGGTAAGTATGAGAACACTTCAATACGTCCTAACACTTTAAATAAGACCTCTAAAGACTTACTTGAAACGTTATTCTATTGCTTGTACCTACCTTCAAATGTATACGAATTTTCTTAAGAATACTGTAAGTGACTAAAAAGTTATGATGAAATGTAGCTCTCCACGTTCACGATCACAATGTGTGCGGCCTTTTTTGGCCACCGATAAACCTGTGTGTGGATATATAAACTGAATATATAGTTGTTTAGTTCAGTTGTCTACCTGTAGAATTTCAGCGTCGTACATATAATAATTTATGAGATAATTAAATAAAAGTCATTAGAAGGTGCAAGACCGTGGTAACCCGACCATGTTTAGGTGGTTACAAAAAAGCGATCACCCAGTACATTGTGCTGTCTTTTAAAATGTTTAGTGTAATACACCTTACGATTTCGGTACAGTTGCGTACAGTGTTAAATACATTCAATATTTATTCATTATTATTACCTATTATTTATTTTGTTTTTTTTCCCTAATTGATCTTAAGCACTAGTTTCTTTACTTAAAATTTATTTAGTCTTTTTTACTACCGGAGCTACAATCAACAGAAAATCTGCACTGGTCCGCTAAAATTATAAATATGTAGATACATGTATGAACGATTCACCTGACTGCAGTAAATCGAAAATTTACACCAATAAGAAATCGTTTCATTTCTTTGATTTTTTTTTGCAAAGAAATAACACTAAAGTAATTGTATTGGGGTGTATAGAGCTTAGACTTGAATGCATCAAAATATTTAAAGCAACAAGTCATCTACAATAAGTTAAAATAGACCGAATAGTAGAAGAATACAGTTGTAAATTAGAATGCATCAACATTGCATCGCCCAACAGTCGTATACCTCGTAAGAGTAGGTAATATTGTTCTGTGGTCTATACCGAGAACCGAGAATTATCTATACCTATGTACCTACCTGTGACTGTTGATTTCTGTTAAAATCGAAGAGTTGTTGAATGATATTTTGATATAATAACGGTAATTTAATTTATCGAATGAAAGTGATACATTTTTATAGATACAATTATTGGTCAGATAATATTTGTCAATCAAGAATCGCTGATAATATGTACATCCTTCGCTAGAACGCGGTAGGGGAGGGGCGAAGGGATACTTCATTGTTTGCAATTTGCATCTAGTGCACTAAACTTGACCCTTAGGCAGATAATATACGTGTTGTAAAGTACTTGTGCGCTTCCGCTTTCTATTTTTGTAAATATTTATCGTATTCTTGAGAGTTCTTCAATATGTGTGTACCTAAATACTAATAATAGGCATTAATGCTAATTCGATTCAATTTAAGTAATTGTCAATTCTTGTCTTAGGATATTAATTACTAATGCTAATATTGAAATTTCGTTCAGGGTGAACAAATTAAAAACGATCATAACTTTTAGGTAGGTATATCACTTATTACCAATTTTACATAAATAATTTATTTTACTATAATTTAACTCACCGCGATTTTGTGATCAAATATTTTATTTTCTCCAACATTATTACAGAAATAATGCAATACAGAGTTTGTTCGCGATATGCTAGCCTAAGTCGATTCATCACTTAAAAAAATCCCCATCTATTCACAAAATACCTATTTACAACGCATACGTTACACTCTTCAAAACTTATCATTTCATTTCATTTCATATTTCTTAAATTACCTATACCTACCCTAAAATTAAACTTCAATTAACAAATACTACGCAGGTACCAATTCTATGAACAACTATAAACAATTCACCTAAACATTACGAGAAAACAAAAGCATTCAAAACAATACCTAATCTCCCGGCTGATTACTAATTATGCAATAAACAATCCTAAATAAAAAATATTTAAAAAACGTAGTTTTTTGTAACACTTATGTACATATCCGTAGTAAACTTGCAAATAATATCCTACATATTTTAAAAGCCAGCACAATGTACTGGGTGATCGCTTTTTTGTAACCACCTAAACATGGTCGGATTACCACGGACTTGCACCTTCTAATGACTTTTATTTAATTATCTTGTAAATTATTATATGTACGACGCTGAAATTCTACAGGTAGACAACTGAACTAAACAACTAATTATTGGCATAACATTCAGTTTATATATCCACACACAGGTTTATCGGTGGCCAAAAAAGGCCGCACACATTGTGATCGTGAACGTGGAGAGCTACATTTCATCATAACTTTTTAGTCACTTACAGTATTCTTACGAAAATTCGTATACATTTGAAGGTAGTTACAAGCAATAGAATAACGTTTCAAGTAAGTCTTTAGAGGTCTTATTTAAAGTGTTAGGACGTATTGAAGTATTTTCATACTTACCTAAATAATTTTTAAACGGTCCATTACTTTTGTTATTTTATTGTCGAACAAATTTAAACTAATCCTTAAGAAGTTATGTACAAAAGATGGTTACAATCCGCTTACCCGTTTCAGAGATCCAGCAAACCCACAAACGTTACTCCAGCAGGATTTCGAATAACTTCGCACCCGAAGAAAATACAAATACCAAATAAGTTGTAACATTTACCTAGTCCAGATAACTAATTATTTAGCTAAAATTTATTTCAATATTACAATTTAAAAAGAAAATGTCTGGCGCACGCACACAGTTTTGTATCTAAATGGTGGCCAAGCCAGTATCAGTGACACTCGTGTGCGTTACCCCAGCAAAATAATGTCGAAAATGGTCATTTAAACTTTATAGATAATTAGTTGCTCCCCTTCTGTAATTGTTAAGCACATTTTTAAATTTGTTTCACTTAAACTTTTTTAGTTATTTCAAAAAAACATTTCCTGCTGGGGT